AATGTTAAATTTAAATAATATTATATTTTATGAATTTTTTTAAAAACATAAAATAGTTGGGATCAATTTGTAAATTTTTTAAATTATGGTATATTAATTAATTTGAAAAAGAGAATATACTTAGAATATTTCATTTTGGTGTAAAAATTGGTGTAATACATTGGAGAAAACCCAACACCATTTTGGTATAAAAAATTAAACCATTGGAAATGCTCTAAGTGTAGAGTTTGATCATGAAAATCTCTAAAAATACGATGTTTTAAATATTGATATGAGTCATGAGTGTTGAGATCATCTATGGATTTGGTGTAATCAGATTTCTTATATCCAATAACAACAACCCTTGAGCAATAGAATGTGACAAGTCTGCTAAACCACTGATAAATGAATGTTATGTATCACAGACTAAAACAGAAATTCATCAACAAGAACACAACATCTGAAAACAAAAGCATAGTAAGGAGTTTTTTTTACTGATTGTTGATGAACACTAGGATAAAGCAGAGTAAAAAGAAAAAGCGCTAAGCATCGGATGAGAGTGGCAAGATCGAGGTTGGTGTTGACAAACACAAGTTTGCACTAGTATACTCTTCTGTTTCAAGACAACATGTTACCTCATTTATGCTTTCTTGTAGAGCTAAGAAATATGTAGTTGACCTGTCAACATTCTTCTTTTTGCTCAGTGGAAGCTCGCTCTTTGATTCCTTTGGGAGGATCCGTCTCAAGACTAGTTTCACCATCGCCTTGTTGATTCAGCAAAAGCTTCTTCTGTAGCTTCTTTTTTTTTCTTCTTTTGGGATTTAAAGAGTGTTTGATGAGGCACTTTCTCTTTTTCTTTTGGATGATTGGTCTCAAGACTAGTATTGTGAGAACCTAACCATGAATTAGAAGCAGAAAAATGTGAATCTGGTAACAATTTAATCGTGAGTTTGAACCTAAGTGACTAATCTACAACTTTCTCACTAATCAAATGTCACAATACCTTCGAGATTCTGAATTTCTCTTTGCTATGAAGGATTAGACGCAGACATGTCTTTTCAAATATCTCTCTACCAAACTGCTTAATGACATATGACATTTGAGCATGGGTTTGCATTAGAGGTATTTTTTAAATGCACAAATGTTTATCAGCATCAATACTAGAGGGAAGTGTCTTGAAAATTTCAGCGGAATTTCTAATGAATTGTTTCAGAAATGAGTTACTGATCATAACCAAACGAGCCCTAAAAAAATCAACATGAGGAAAAGAATAATATGGGGAAAAACCATGAATGTGATAAATCTAAGTTCCTAATATACAACCTCCACAATAATGAAATGTCACAATACCTTTGAGATCCACCTGGTGCTTTGTTGTTCGAGATCTTTGAATCTTGATTACTCAATTGACACGACAACTGACTTTTGATGAGTTAATGTATTAGCCAAGTTATATAAATTGGTACACTTTTTGTACAGGTTGTCTAGTATACAAGAGTAAGTGAATTAAATACAAGTTTTTTGTTTAATTCACGAGCAACTGAATTAAAAGATAAAAAAAAAGAAATGTCTGACATGTTTTTGTGAGCTTAGTACTTATTTTTACATATATAGCATCCACATCATATCCGTATAAGTGATATAAGTAAAAAAAAAATAACTTGATCAACAACTAGAATATAAGTGATATTTCATAACTTGTGAGTTCTAATGTTATACTCCATCCATGTCTTATTATTTGATGTTTTAGATAATTGTTTTGTTTCATTTTAATTGATATTTTCAAATTTCTATGTAAAATAATTGTTTTTTTTGTTATTTTAACTGTTTAAATTATGCAGATTGATTTTTAGTTAGTCAAATTGTTTTGGAATTGATAATAAACATTTTGTTTTTCTAATACCCTTTTTTGTTTTTAGTATTGCAAAACTATTGCATATTTTAAACTCGTGCCTTCCATAAAAAGAACAATATTGCCTCGTTGAATTTGTTTTTGTAACTAACTGAAAATTAGTTATATTTGTTGATTAGATGGTGGTTAATTTTATAAAATTTGTAGTTAGCCATGCATGATTTTACTTTTTTTTTCATGATGTTTTAACTTAGTTTGCAGCTATTTTGCAAACCCATCATTAAAATTTGAAATAGTAAAACCAAAATATGTATCAGTTTTAACCTCTTAAAGAAAGGAGGTGCTATGAATGGAGAAATAGTGTTTCAATGTAAAAAACTTTGAGAGATTGGAAGTTAGATTTGTGCTATTTGATAATTTTTGCATTCTTAATTTTAAGAAGGAATTATGAGTTTTTGAAGACCAAATCCGCCAAACAAATTGAGGATCCACCTTGGTCTTGGAGGAGGTGATACTCAAGCCAGTCTAAACTCAAGGATAAATTTATTTCACATGGTCTTAGAGAAGTGATACTCCCACGTTTTCTCAGATTGTCTCCGGGACTCTAGTTCCACGACAATCGAGCACTGAGGCTCAGCAGAACAGCAGCTGGACTCATCTGGAACAAATGTTGAAACTTCTGATCTGACTGCTCAGGGCTGAACCGACGTACCTTCGAGGGATAGAAGAAGAGGTATAGGTCGAGGTCGAGGTCGCGGTTATCTTGATTGTCTCTTCAGACCATGATTTTGCATGGATAATGGAGGATTTAGTAAAAAGACAAAGAAAGTCGCTAAGCATCGGGTGAGAGTGGCGAGTCCGAGGCTGGTGGTGGCAACATAGTTGAATTGTTTTAGAATTGATAATATGGTTAGTTTGCCAAATAACCAAAAAAAAAAATAATAATTAAAAAATTAACAAAATTAACATATGTGGCATAATCATATCCATTAGAATTAGATTACTTGGTTAGGTTTTGAATTATAGTTTTTTTTTTATTATTCAACCCAATTTTCCCTACATAATAAAACATGTTTTATTTAGAAAAAAATAAAAAATTCAATGAA